TCATCAAAATCCAATTAGTGGTTCTTTCGATATCAGTGGAACAGTCATAGAACAGCTAAAAATTAGCTAATTATCATGCAAATTAGGTAATTAACGAGCATGGATTTTTACCAAAACCTATGCACCAAGTTTTATCAAAAACCAATGTATGGTTCTTGAGATAGCAGTGGAACAGTCGGACACACATACACACACACACGCAAACTGCAAAGACTCCCATTATGTGCTTCGCACATGGGAGTCAAAAAACCAAAGGAACAAATACAACATCTGTTTAAATGTCAAAACAGTGGGGACTAATTACAGTGTTAGATCAATTTCCATTGTGTAATATTGTATATAACGCTTATTGATATAATTTTTGTTATGTATTCCTCTTGCAAAAAATCTAGAAAGCATTCGACAACCATTTCTAAGAAACAAACCATATATCACTTGCAGTATTGTTTGCATGCCACTTTATTTAGCTGTTCCCATACAGAAAAAATCAATGTAAACAGAATTCAACCAAATAGATTATTTGCTAAAATAATTACCGGTATAATACTGAACTTCACCAAATAATAAAATCAAATAATGAAAATATTTGATACTTAAATACATTGTACTCAGCAGAGAACCAATCATTGAAGACTCCAGGATCTTAGCATATGTCTAAATGTCACATTAAACTCAACAAAACAAAATGATACATTGGCTCAAAAACACACACATATGCAATCAAACTTACAATTTTAAATTTGCACACTGAGAGAATCTTTCAACGAGTTTGCGGTTGTAGTAAACAAATATAACTTACATGGTTAACAATTTGTTTTAAAATATCAATAAAGCTTATCTATAATCTTTATCTGAATTTAATAGATACTATATATTTAAAATTATATTATTATAAGTTAGAAATACGTTTCATTTCACAAGAGATATGATAAAGGCCAATTTAATTTGCTGGACATTTAAATATTTTAAGACAATATCAAATCTTAGTATAAAATTGTACACAACATGAAATATAAATAATTTACATCTTTCTCAATTTGCATAATTAAGCTGGATATGCAATTGACATAAACATGGTAATAATGGGAGGGAGTACTTGCAATACCAGAATTTAAGTACAATAGTAAACAATAGTTTGTGATTTCACTACTTGTGGTCACCTCAATGCATAGAACTAATGAGCTGAATTACAATAGCAGCCATTAAAGTTTCTGACTTTGCCTAGAGCTACCAGAATTGGTATCATTCAAGGGAACAATATTTAATAATGCCAAATACATATATTTCAAAAATATGGAAATTTTAGACCCATTCCGTTGCACTGTTTTTCACAATAAGTGCCACATAAATATTACTTCATATACTGTTATTGATAACACATGACTATGGCATGCAGCCTTCTAATTTCCACAAGTTGTTTTAATATATGGCACTAGTATAAAACGAAGCTAGTTTGTACCTTGTGGTTTTGAATGCAAAATTAAACTTTAGAATATCACACATTTCTGTTACTGCTGAACATTACGATATATAATAGATAATATTTAGTAATAATTGAACAGAATGAAGACATTTGCACTGATCATAAAAACCAGATGTCAGTAACTTACTCTATTTTATTATCTCGTATGAATCATTTTTCCTGGCAAAATTCTGGTTTGTATGTTTCCCACCATAATTTTGCTGCACTACATGTATTTGCAATTCATATTAAATATTCTTTAAGAAACCTTAAGATTAATAAAGTACATGTTTTATTAATCTCTAGGCATTGTGTCAACTTATATTGCAAAAATTACAGTGTTATTGCCGAATGAAGGAAACTTATTGCTTTTTTATTAAATGGGTCAGGATGACAATTACAAATTATACCATTTTTTTCTACAAATACAATTGGGTGGGGGGGGGGGTCAATGACATTATTCAACACACACATTGAACTTACAGAGGTTTCATGCACAGAGAGCTTCAATTATCATTACTTTTCAAAATAATTTCTAATATTTAAAAGGTATGTCTATATAAAACAAACATGATACACCAATTAGTTTTCATATTAAATGCGGATGTACTTCATCAAACTCAAATATAATGTGCTTGATACAATAGACTGAAAGATACACAGCTGTTAGTGAATTTTGACTGAAACATGCATTCCAGATATGCAAACCATGACAATTAATAGCAAGTCAGACTCAATGATTGCTGATTACATTATTTTACATTATATTATCATTTGTGAGTGTTGCTGACTACTTTTGTTACATTTCTGTAGACATACACTGTACAGAACTTGTAATCCAGCATGTTTATTTTGTAACCATCGTCTGAATTCATGTATATCTTTTATACAGTCATTATAGACCACTGGTATAGGTATAATCAGCATCATCAAGTCATTGTTTTCTATTTCCAAAATTAGTATCAATTGTAGATCACTATGAACCCACTAGATGTGTATCTGAGGTCAGGTTTTCACTTTTATTAGAGAGCTAATATGGTACCAGTATAGTTGACAGTACTGTATGGTGCAGATACATGTAACTATAGTTAAAGCACATAGGGATTTCATGTTACATATGTATTGCATACAGAAATCATTTTTTCTTATACATTAGAATACACAGTTAACATGTCACTTTAAGGCATCTGCGAAGAAAAAAATGTTGTTAAGATAAACTCAACTTGATTCAGTAGTGACTTTTGGTGCTTTACAGTACTAACAGTAATCACTGATTTACATAGAAGGCCAAATAAAAATGCAATGAACTACCAGTCAAGCCATCATACAGACACAGTTGTGACTGCCATCCCGTGTATTGCATATTTTTACTGAAGAAAATGGCATAAAATGATTTTTTGTTATCCCTATTTAGAACTTATGTTGTTTGTTTTAGCATGCCATACTGGAAAACATCAAAATATATTAAACCAAAAAGTACCAGTAAAGTTATGATTACAAAGTTTATTAAGCCCCTGCTTGACTGAGAATCCAAAACTACCAGTATTTGAATCATATCAACTGTCAGGGTTAATAGGCGATCAAATAATGCCAATTTATTTTTTTCGTTTTTTCAAAACTCGTTACTAGGACAAGTTGATTTTGGTTTCATATTCTTGGTAGCTAAAACCAAGTGAAAATCTAAATTTTAATAAGATTAACATTTTGACTTACAATACTATTTCAAGCATATATGAGACAACCTCTAACAAGTTTGTACCTGGAAAATACACTGAACATTGATGCAATGCACAAAACATTGCACACATTCATATACAACGTACTGAGAATTGAGTAGCATTCATAAATATCACTGTATACAATGAGCTTCAAAAATTGTTATGAAACATACCCACTTTAGAAAGATAGAAAAAAATAAAACTGGTCTTGTTATGACAAAGTGCCGAAAAAAACACACAACACACCAATCCGGTGATAAAGCTATAAATAATATTGAGATACGGCAGAGCCAATACAAATGTCCCTTACAATGACCAAGACAAATCATTAACATCCATAGGGCCACTGAGTCCAGCGTCTGTTTCTAAGAGATTCATTATGACAGACATGGCCGAGTCATCATTATCACTGCAACTAATGGTAACTGGTGAGTTTGAAGTAGTTGCCTGTGTAACTATGCTAGGCTTGTCTAGGAATCTGTCAAGTAGATCAGTCATTTGAACTGTACTTCTGGTTGATGCCAGCATCTGGGCCAGTTGACTTGTACTCTCCGTGGATTTACCACTTTGGTTGCTGGCTTTGCCTTGCACTGAGCTTGATGCCAAATTCGTGTTTGGGGTCTGCCTACTAAGCGAGGATAAGTCAGCATTTTTACTTGTGGTGTTTGTTGTTGTTCCACCTAGCATTTAAACAAAATTTGTATTTTTGCTGTTAAACTCCGTCATTGAGTGTAATGACAAATATCTGTAATTTGTGATATAAGAGGAAATGTTTTGCTAACCAGCATAGATGAAATAGTGTAAGAAATGATACAATACAATGTCAACATAGTACTAGCATATGGTGTCACATAAATTGTAAACATGCAGTTAGAATATGGGGAATACAGTTAGAATACAGTGTGGGCATATTGTGTTAGCTTAAAGTTGTATTGTCGACAAAAGTTAGTTAAAAGCTCTTTTAATTTTGAGTAATTTGGCCAAAAAATAAAATCTGCAAGTTAATGATTTCATGATTTACACTGACCAGCTCAGTTGCTGATTACACTGATCAACATTTATTGTTTGTCTTCACTACAATAAATCCCAACAGACATTGCTGTTTGAATCCTGCTTGCACGTAAAACACAAGTAACATAGGAAACACATAATGTTCGATGTTCACTCGGACACATTGGTAACATCAGTAAATTTTGTAAACAAGCAGTTAATATTGTAAACACGCCGTTTCGTAAACTGTTATATTATGATGTTAGCATATAGTGTCAATGATGTAAAAATACAAAATTAAAGATGTAATTAGCAGAAAGTGTAAAAGTGAAGTGCTAACATAGTGTTCACAGTGTTATTGTCACCGCCATATTGTTCCGAACACCAAAACAGCATCGTTGCCAGCTCAGTTGCTGATTGTTTTGCAATGTGCATCTTCAAGATCGTTACCTCATTAGAACTGGTTAGTTCAAACTATTTTTACGAGGGTGTGCCGTTCGGCTAAGTGAGAGCATTCATGAGATTAATGACATGCATCAGACACTGTGTTCTGACATTTCATACTAGTACAAATATTATTTTTTGGATAACTTTCCATATATACAATTGAATGAAATAAATCGAAAGGCATCGCATCGTGATCTTCTATTTATATTCAACATGTCTAAGTCCAACACTATTAGTTTGACATCTCCTGTTGAGATTTGTTTGACCCAACTTGTTCTAATCCCATAACGATCTTGAGGCACCATAGCAAACCAGTCAGCAACTTAGCTGGCAATGTTGCTGTTTTGGTGTTCGGAACAATATGGCGGCGGCAGTAACAGACTGGGTGTGTATTAACATACAATATAAGCAGATTACACTAACACATTTTATCCTCAATAAAAGCATATGGTATTTACCGTCGTATTCAGTACTCCGAAGATGACTGTCACTGCAGGATAGAGAGACTGTTGAAGACAAGGTACCTTGACACCTACTACTGCTACCCTCAGCTTCAATGGGAGACCTTGGCAGAAGAAATGCATCAATCTTAAAAACATACACTGATACACAATCACATTATAATTCCACAACACAATCACTTTACAACACCACAGGTTAATAAACTAGTAACCAATTAACTAGTATGACACGTGTCACATGCCTGGGAGATTATAACCACAGTGTACGGTACTCACCTAATCTCCAGATCTACATTATCAATCTCATCAGCAATCATCCTTCCAATTTTCCCAGCCCCTATTCTAGTTGAACATGGAATTCCTGGTACTGAGATTGGTTCTTTAATGTTGACTAAAACATAAACACACAATGATGTTGATGAAACAAACAAGAGACTTGGGTTCCTTGCAAAGTTTCCTTGCTACTAATATTAATAAGCATTTCAATGACATCACAACTGGGGGTAATTTACATATTTCAGGATTTGATGAGCTGAGCATGCATGCATACAAGTTCAGCGATTGCTGCACGCACAAGAATGAGCTTCACAACTGTCATATCACTGTGCACGTGAGAATGCATTTCCATTGGATTTGGGTCGAATATTGAAAAATTGAATAATTGTAGAAGATTGTTTAAAGCAGACCAGAAGATGCCTCAGTTGACAAAATTTCATTGGCAGAATTAAACAATTTCATGATACTTTCGAAGTAATATATAATTTAGTATCTTTAGAGGACCTCTACACTGTCTTGCAGGGAACACAAATCTCTTTTCGCCATCTATACACTCACATGTTTCATTTTATGTTATGTATCATCGTTATTTAACGGTATCATACAAATGTTGTGACCAGAATGTACAAATTAATGACCTCTCATTGGTATTCTCAAAGTGATATATAATCTAGTATAAAGATACAAGCACCATCTACACTGTCTTGCAGGGAACACAAATCTCTTTCCTTGAGTTCCAGATTAGGCAATGTAAACTTTTGTCCTCACTACCAGCTGTATGTATAGCAACCAATAAAATTGAATATACCCGGTATATACCTCGAAAATTTGAAATAAAAATGCAACAGCCCAAGCAATATTCTACTTCACTGAGTTGTACAACTGTGTTTCTCATACCATAGGAGTTTGAAAATGAGGCAACAAAGCCTTTTTTTGAGACAGATTGCTTGAGAATGATGGTGGATGCATAACACAAGACAATTAATTAATTGAGATTAATTGTAGACTTACTTTTGCCAACATCCTCATCTACGTTAAAACTTGACAAGTCAGCAGTCTCTGGACACCTGTACATATAGATATGGTACACTATAAGCAAACAAGCAGCCTGTCGGCTGAGATAGCTCTGCTGTTAGCAATGCACTTTTCAATCAAAGAACTGAAGATATCATTAGATCAAAGAAAGTTTAGAAAGAACTCCCATGTGCTGAGGGAATAGGGATCATGATGTAATATTAGGGAATATTTGAAAATGATTAACAAAATATGAATAATCTATTAAATAAGGAGCCACCAGTAGTCATCTACACACGTAGACATCGTATACCTACAATAAGCCTACTTAAGAATATGCATAAAAAGTCTACACAAAATTGAAACATTAATGAATTGCAGCAGCCAATCATTAATAACATTCTTACCAAGTTACATAAAAATTGTTTTAATGCTTCTTGAGATATAACTGAAATAGCTTAAAATTCACACATTATTATGCAGATGAGCTCATTAATATGCATGGATGTCAACCAAAAACTAATCAAATCTGCGCATTGCCCCAGACAAGCTATATACCAAGTTTCATTGAAATCCGAACATTGGTTCTTGAGATATCGATGGAACAGACACACACACACACAGTCAGACAGACAGACAGTCAGACACACTAACTGCAAAGACTCCCTTTTTGTGCTTCGCACACGGGAGTCAAAAATGAACAATATGTATAGTATTAAAGCAATCAGACTTGCAGTTTTCAACAAGAAGACTAAAATATCACTTTTCACCAAAAATATTCATCAAAATTAGAGAATTGAAAATGTCATCATGTAATAAACAAATCTAAGAGAGGTCTACCCAAGTATCAAAGCATTCAGGCTTGTAGTTTTCAAGAAGAAGTCGAAAAAGTAAAAAGTTGACACTGACGACGGGAGCCGAAGAATCACTCATATGATAAGCTCTGCTCGACTAAGTTGACAGCAGAGCTAAAAAGCTAAATAAATAATCTTTTTAGCAAAGAGACACAAAACTATGGAGAGGATCGAGGGTCTTATTTGAACTCTAATGCCAGTCTTCCAGTTTTTAAGTAATACTGGTAATATGTGTACTTACGAAATCAATGTATTCGTACAAACAATATATTCTACTTCTTTGGTCCAAGGATTTCGAAAACAGAATGATTTGGTTCTCATTTTTACAAATTTGCCATTTTTGGCTCGGAATCTATACACAGTCGTCATAATCTTATCTTTACCAGCCAAAACTGTAAGAAAGAAAGTATTGATATCACTACACTATGAACATGTCACCATTGTTATTGTCAGAGATTGCAATGCTTTGTGCAGTCATTCACTATCTGCTTTTAATACAATGATTCATATTTATTTATGCAAGGATATTCCCTTACAATGACTATGTCTGGCGAAAATAATGCAAGGCCCATTATACTACATTCATAGATGACTGAGAGGGCAAACAAAGGTACAAATCTATAAAGTATGAGTGTCCACTGACAGAAACATATAAAATTAATAATTCAAGTCATACCAGCTTTGTGACTCTCAGCTAGTGGAGGGATGTCATCTGCATGATAATATTCATAACATGATGTACCCAATAGTTCTTGAGGTAGAAAACCTAGTATAGCAGTCGCTCTGATAAATATGGACAAGCATATTGTAGTATTAGTTTGTTATTTAATGTGTTAAAAGTGCAGGAGTACTTCACATGATTGACTGAACATGCATTGTATTGAGAAGATGCAAAATGAAGGATATACAAATTTCTCATCCAATATTTATATAGTAAACCGTGAGAAATAACCTCAAACTGATTTGACAGATGAATATAAAACCAAATAAATTCAAAAATTAAAATTAAAATGTATCAACTTTCTTCTTTTATAAAGAACTCAGAAATTGTCAATTATTTCTACAAAGCTCCATCTCTGTTATCATGCTTGCAATTCTTGCTAATCCTGTCAATGCTAGATCATTTTATGGCAAAAGTTACATAAGTCTCTTTTCATTCCCCCCAAAACATGAATCGTTATTTATTGAATAGACCAACAAATAATTTTCATTTTTATTCTATTATTTCATTGATTTGAAAAAAACAATTATTTTCACTACAGCTTATTGAGTTTTTAGGGTAAAAACATTCCATGTCTATCAGTATTCTTTTATATATGTAAGCTCTGTGACTGGCTTCTGGGATTCTCAAACACTCAGTGTTCATATACTTACCTTTGGTCGACAAAAGTGAATCGTCCATCCATAGCATGTCGTGATACAAACTCTGTTGGTACGATCTCTGCACTGTTAGATCCAGTTGATTGGGGAATTTGAGATGGCTAAGTTAAACAAAAAAGGAATGGATTATGAATTCCTTCAAGGAAATCAAAGATACATGATTCTGTACATGATTATTTATAGATTTCTACTAAAGACTAACAGCTAATCGAACACTGATTCATTTGTGCAAGAGAATTGTATACCTGCTTATGTTGCATGAGATTAGGTTATGCAGGGCGGTTGTTTTGGAGGTACATTTCTTACCTGTACTCTGGCTATAGCAACCAAACAGCTGAGTATACAGTCTTCACCAAACGTGTCTTCAGGATCATCATGTAATGGTATCTTGGATGACGGCCAACTCTTTAAATAACCAGTACAATGAATTGTCACATAATTTTTGCGTTCTGTGTAAAAGAATGGCATAAAAATATGATATAATGAGAAATTAACAGGCCATGCATGGCACAGTCCCTGTTAGTTATCAAATTTAAGATATATAGTTTTATTTATAGTAATATAGCTGGAATATAACCATGTCAGGAATATGATTTTTTAACATTAAAATGATTGACATTTGTATTTGATCGTCAAACAAGTACTTGTCCATATTGAGAGATATTGCTCTGGAACAGCATTCAAAATCAGCCATTTTGAATACATGTATATAACATGATGTATAACGAATATAACAAATTTGAATATATAATCAGTCAAAGCATTCAAGAGATATGGCTCTAGAAGCCCAATCATTAAAACAAAATGGCCGCCACTCAGCCATTTTGAATCCAATCTGAAAAATAAAATGACGTGCATCAGGAACCCGTAATGTCTAATGTATGTACCAAGTTTGAACGAAATCCATCCATAAATGCCAGAAAAGCTTGATATTTGATGATTTTTTAGCACAAAAATGACCACCATGTGGCCATTTTGAATAGAATCGTTAAACCAATACAGGTATATCTGTTTATCTATGACATGATGTATGATGAATATTTAAAATTTAAACATAATCAGTCAAAACAAGTTGGAGATATGGGTCCAAAAGCCCATTTATTAAAACAAAATGGCCGCCAGACAGCAATTTTGAATCCGATCTGAAAAATAAATGATGTGCATCAGGAACCTGTAATGTCTAATACTAGTATATGTACCAAGTTTGAACAAAATCTATCCATAAATGCCAGAAATGCTTGATATTTGATGATTTTTTAGCAAAAAATGCCCACCATTTGGCCATTTTGAATAGGATTGTCAAACCAATATATATGTCTGTCTATGACATGATGTATAATGAATATTTGAAATTTGAACATAATCAGTGAAAGCAAGTCAGAGATATGGCACGAGAACCACATTCATTAAAACAAATGGCCGCCAGTCGGCCATTTTGAATCTTATCTGAAAAACAAAATTATTTGCATCAAGGTCCCATAATGTCTAATGTATATACCAAGTTTGAACAAAATCCATCAGTAAACAGCCGAGATATGCTTGATTTTGATGATTTTTTAGCACAAAAATGGTCGCCATTTGGCCATCTTGAATC